TAGCACTAGAACCAGTACTAGTACTCGTACCAGTACAAGTAGTCGTCGTCGTGGTGGCGGCGGCAGCGGTCGCGGTGGCGGCGGCGGTGGCTTCGGCGGTGCTGGTGGAGTAGTAATCCCGTAGTAATCCCCCTAGACCGATAATAAAAACCCCAAACATGCTGGCATTTAGTACTTCCTTTGTGTTATACTAGAATAAAAATGAACATGAAGTCAATCCCTAAGGAGAATACCGTTTACTTAGGTAGTGGGGCTACCCATGAGCCTCTGTAGACTTCGAAGTATCCGAGGCTTCCGACTGCTGCAGTTCCGGAACCCTGATGTTCACTGCATCTTGGTGATGATCCTGAAGGTCTTGGGCTTCAGGCTTTAGGGCTTAAGGGTGTAGGGGTTTAGGGTTTAGAGGTTTAGAGTCTAAGGTTCAGGGGGGCCCTCCTGCTGGCTTGTTGCTTGTCAGCATCCAGACTAGCTTTCCTAGTTTTGTCATAGTTTAGGCCCCAGCACTACATAATCCATGTACATTATAGAACCCGGGTATAAACCGAGTCTCCATTTCATCTTCTATTTTCTTTGAGAGTAAATTCTCCTTTCTTGGGGTAGTAGGACCCTACATAACCCCGTTGTATCCTGATATACCAGAGGGAACCTATAACATTCTGTGGGTCCTCCTGGTGTGGGTCCAAGCGGTTCGTCAACGCTATGAGAAGCCGCATGAGGAGCATGCCCGCGAACCTGGGAGGTCGATGGAACCCTTTACCCTCAATGACCCCAAACCCTAAACCCCTAAACTCTAAACCCTAAACCCCAAACCCTAAACGCTAAGGGGTGGAGTGTAGAGGGTAGTAGGAGAATCCATAAGAAGTCACAGCCGGGACACTGCGTACTAGAAAGACTCACTCCAATTCCAAGCCCTTTTAGGGTTTGGGGTTTAGGGGTTTAGGGCTTGATTTTCAGAATACCCTCCCCTTTTGGACCTGGGCGCATCCAAACTGTCCCCCTAGAACCCCAATATATCTGCGGCGGCTCACATGGATGCAGTGGATGCCATGTATGCGTGCTTCTCCTCCATGCCGGAGTCTTCAAANNTCTTGGCCTTTTGAAAGATCCTGGAGCATAGCTGGGGCAGCATTTAAAAAAGCGGATTCGCGTTGCCTCAAAGGATCTAGCAGCACCCCAATTAAATGGAATTTCTGACAGAGACCCAGGATCTCAATGAAGGAGA